AGATCAAATTTGATCCACCAACTTTAAATTAATCTTCATATTAAGATTTGCAGAATCTGCTTCTGTCAAAACTACATGTGACACTTTTTGTAGGGGAAAAAAATCAAACGTTGATAGTCCTTCAATAAGTCTATTTATTCAAAATTGTTTTCATGCTATGTAAACTCAATTCTTGGCAAGATCTTTAGAGTTAAAACAAATTACATGTAGGACAAATATGTCTTATGGTTGTTGTCAAAATTTCCTTTAAGTTTGAAATAAGTTGGTTCTTTAAGTTTTGTAAATACTCGTTTAAGGCAGAACTTTTTTTGACATGTGCCTGGTTCATTTGGTTGTAGAGATATATCTAAAGTAGCACATCATAGGAATGATTCTGTCAGTCATATTCTAAATGATGGAAGAGATCTGAAATTAGCCAGTATCCTTGCAGTTGTGTGAAATAGGCAATAATTTCCAATACTGCTTTGCTTTGAAAACTACTTGAAAGGATTACATGCGTAATCATACAATTTATAATTGCCACTTTTTAAAAGTTCTCTTCCCATGCTATTTTCGACTTTCACTCCGAAAAATTGATTTAGTTTGTAAATTGCTATTTTGTCTAGCAGTAGTAAGGTTATTCGCCTTAAAAGTCTGTCTACGTTAAGTCTTGGAATTGCTTCTTTACAAGGTTTGTGGCCCGACAGACAAAATTCAGGCGTATCTTTCTGTGCGTAGTGGACGCAGAAGCAACCAAAATGAAGCATAATTTTCAGAACTTTGAAAACATCCCAAAATCAAGAATTACCTTTTCCGTTTAATTGAAACATACACATTGAAAATTTGTTAAGTGAAAAAAGAAATCAGTTGTCGAAGAGCATGGGTAGAGTAACTTGAAAATGGTAAATTATTGTGATTATTATATTGTCGAGCATAATTCAAATTGTTTTCTATTCCTTACAATGTGATAACATCGTGATCTAAATATTTCGAAACAGTGTGGTGATACTGGTTGAAAAATTTCAGACGATCGTTCCTATGGTGTGCTACTGTGTATGTTAGGTTTATTATTCAATGAATAAAACAAATCTTTGTTGTCTTTTTGTGGAGTGTTTATTTTAGAAGTATGCGTGTTAATTATCCCACTTTTTTGCAGCAAAGTTTAATGTGATTTACAGGCACAGTTCCCAAAACAAACACAATGTCCAAATTCATCAAAAGTCGATGTGGTAAATTACCTATATTAAAATTATATCAAAATTGTTTAATTTTAAAGAGAATGTTAGTGGGAAAACGTACTGCATTTTAGGTATGTGGGGTTTAAGTTCTGCCACTATTAGAACTGCCTGTTTTAAGTGTTAAACTTTGCTGCATATCTTTAATGCTACAACAATGAGGGCGCTCTTATATAAGAAACTAACAGTTATACATTTTTTTAAGAGTGAGGGCGCTCTTTAGTAAATAAACCTAAAATCCCTTAAGTTTAATAAGATAGAGGGCGCTGTTTTTATGAAATAAACCAGAAGCCATAGACTTGCCATATAAGATTGTCATTTGAACTTTATTTTATACACTTGTAAATTTTTATTTTTTTAAAAATTTGACCTTTGACCTGACCCTTCAACTTTGACATAACCTTTGACCTGACCCCTGAACTATGACATGACCCTTGAACTTTGACCTGACCTTTGAACTTTGACCTTTCACCCGACCAAAAAAAAAGCCCAGCCACACACAGGCCCCCCCCTGGTGCGCACACACATGTCCCCGCCCACAGACACCAACAAGCAGCAGTCACCCAACTACCCACACCAACTTGTGACCAACTCTTGATGAGTGTACACAGCGTCCTCTAGATCTTGCAAGTTGTGCAATCATGGATAACCCAAGTAGAAAACAACATAGTAAGGATCCTATTAAACTCCGACAATCGGTTCAGTTTTCTACAAGGCAGATGATACTTTGGGTTTTTGGTTACGACCGTTGCCACGGTAACCCACCATCCACTCTAAGAACGACAATTAAAGAGACACTCTGCATCTTTTCCGTTATTGTTCCTCTCAACATATCAGCCGTTCACAGTTACATCATGCCAAATAATCCGATCAAATAAAATACCCAGCATTCAGTTTCCTTGTCATAAAGATTTTCTTGGATATTTTCCAGTGTCGGATAATATTTAATCAATCGTAATGGCCATAATTACATTGATAACTTTCCACAGTTTTAACTCTAATTGTTAGGCTGTTTTTACAGCAGTTGTTTTTACAATTTACATGTACGTCTAACGAACAAATCGTACATTTGTTACTGACATACGGTAGATGATACCACACGTATAATGCTCCATGTTTTCCTTTGCAGAAAAGAACAAGTTTAATTTTACATACTTTCAGCTGCAAATTGACCTGTATTTATGTACAGGTAGTTCCAAACGGGAATTTTACTGACTATCGTGCAAGCATAAGAGTAAACAAGGCTTTTGGTAGCACACAACTTTCCTAAAAGATTAAGTAGTTAATAATTCGCAAGATATTTCCTTACTAATTTTCATGGAGTATTTTCGGTGTAATTTTCAGTCAAGGCTATTAGAAGATGCCTTGCATGTACATGTACATGTACATGTACATGTACATGTACATGTACATGTACATGTACATGCATGTACATGTACATCTACATGTACATGCATGTACATGTACATGCATGTACATGTACATGTACATGTACATCTACATGTACACATGTACATGAACATGAACCACACTTCAATGTTTCCAACAACTATTGAGAGGAGCAAAGTTTTTCAAGCTCCATAAATTGTGAGACGAGATTCACGTTCAAAGATTCCAGAATTGGAATTCATCCTGATTACAAATAATATATTTTCAACTGAAGAATTTTTAGTCATTCTTCTCTGGCTTTTAGTTGTGTCATCACCTTTCAAAAATATTTATTGGTTCGTAATATTGTATACGCCAATGTTTTTGGCACAAAATCTGTGACAAAATGATCTTCCAAGTTTTACTTAGGTTTGCTGTACACAGTACTTTGTTATTCGTTGTTCAATTCAAGTCTAACAGACAATTTGCCTTTCTGAATTTCAGGCAAATTTGATTTTCTGGGTAGCCAATTTCGTTAACAACATCAAAACATTCAAAGGTTTAATAGATTGAATCTTTTTCTCGATAGAATCCAATTCTATTTCGTTTTCTTCTACGATCCTGGCATGCCCTCCTGAAGAACCATACTGCTCAGTGACTCGGTGGATGATGCGGTAGCAATCTGCCCGTCAGGATCCATAGAAACTGTGACATCCAATATGACACGGGGGAAGCCTGTCCCGTCGCCCATGCTAAGTTTAATTGAAGTTTTCATTAATTCATGCACTGTACAATTCATGGTTATACATCCTCATTGTTACTCATTAAACCCAATGATTCTCATGGCATAACTGGAGTAGGCATGCCTGCATAAGGCAGGTAATGTACATGTACATGCTCACATGCAAACCTTGGCAGGTCCTGGGAAAATCTAAGATACTGAATTAAAATTTAAGTAGAAGCATTGAAATAATACGTCTATGAATGTAATGGACAACTTGCATAACTACACCCAGCCTTGACTGTAAAACTTCAATACGTAACAAGTTTTAGTGACACTACGACGTGTGTTCAAGTGTGCTTCTGTGACACAAAGAGGCTACAAGTTTGTGCATATTCGACCGTCAAAAGAGGATTACTTGTGCTCTGCGTAATTTCATACATATGTGTTAACCCGTAGGCGCATGTCGAGTTTCATATATATTGCCTCTTATGCGCAGGCAAAGCAGCAGTATTTACAGTTCAAGCTTTGAGTTACTAATCAAATGCTTGTGCCAAATAGTTGCGCAAAGAATTCATCAACTCAAAGAATGTCAGCTTTCACTTTGAGGATGTTACGAACATTTTGAATTTCTGTAACAATATCACCTCAGAAAATGAGGTGATATACAGTGTATCACTGTAGAGTACATGCATTTCTGTATAGGGCTTGCTCCATGGCGGCCATCTCTGTAGGAGAACTGCAACTGCGTATTTTAAGCAATGAAGCACGCATTGCGCAATGTTGAAAATGTTCCAAACACGCACGCTTGTTGCTGGGAATGTGTTTGAAATACGACACAGCTGATGCGCGTTACGCAAGTTCACGCTCAAAATGCCATTGCATGTGGATGATCTGTAGGAAATGACGTGATGTGAACGAGACCTATTTTGCAATCGGTGATAACCAACCAGTAAAATACATGTTCAAACTTCTGGACTGGTTCCTACCATTCCTCCACTCAAAAAATGACTAGCAGGGAACCAGCCTATGTTTTCTTTTGGTTTTTACCACAAAGTACATAATGTATTTCATGCAAGGAGCCCAAATTAAGTAAGGCATTATAAAACACAACAGCGTCTATTTTTCAGGTTTCTGCATTATCAGTAATTTTGGATTTCCCAGGACCTGCCTAAGCAACACTGTACTTTTAATTTCTTGGTCTTTGACATTAGCCACGATTGTGACAGCAAAGTACGGCCAAATGCGAAATATTCCGACATTTCATCTATCGTTTTCTTTCACAAGGGGTTGACGGAGATTACATACGTACCATCTAAGAACTATTCCTGCGTAAATCCTAGTCTTACTGTAATGTACATTTTAAAACGAGTATTGAAATTTCTAGCCTGCATGTTTAAGTTTCCAATATCCCTGCAAGTTTTCTATTTATCTGAATACTATTGTACGAGAATGCCAATTTTAAAAATATACTAATGACTCTGTTCACATAGACGATTGTGAATATTGAAAAACCGAAACAGGCAATTTTTGTGTTTTTCTAGAGTTTACAGAAAATATCAAGGCCCTACATGCACATCTTCATCATTTATCTGAATATAGTGCTAGCAGTTACATATCCCAGAGATGCATGTAATAATTGTCTAAACCTGTTTTAAATTAGCAGAAGTAAGTACTTTTTGCAAGTTCTATTTACGAGTAATTTAATCAACTGTCATTTGTTGAACATCTTACAAGTTCTATCGACATCTTGGCTGATGACTCATTGGAAAAACATGATCTCCTTAAGTTCAAACTTTGTGAGATAAAACTCTTGTTGGAAATACACTTTATTCGCAAATGATGTTTCCCAATAAAGTTCTAAATGGAAGAGTTGCTGTAAGTAAGACTTGTTCCTTGTCACCTTAGTCAAGAACAGCATCACATCGTCATGAAACCTATGCAAACTCCCCACATCTTTACCTATATGATCTCATGTTAGATTTTTTTTCCCTACACGGTTCAATTTTAGGGAATAACATGACATAACTAAGCAAAACGGTTATGACACCTACTTATTTTTAGGTACATGTACAAATGTACATGTACTTTATGTAATACTCCTGAAATACTTTCAGTGTAGAAACTATCAAATGAAAAATCTTTCAATTTGGAACATAAATAAATCCTTTCCGATAAGCATCTTATTTGCACATTACTTAAACTAGACATAGTTACGAGATGGTATCTCCAATCAACTACCCGTCAATTTCAGGTCGGAAGATAGGATAAACATTTTCAAAAGTACAGTTTGGAAAATATCACATTTTCGTTTACATGGATTGCATTTACACAGATGTGCATTTTCCGTACATGCCGTCGTTGAGTCCTTTGTCTTCGTGAAATTTAAATTCTTTTCAACAAGGTCCTACAATGTCATAAGGACAGTTTCGACATGGAAAAACATGTGAAATGGAGCTATGATAGTCTTCAGTCTATGGCAATATCAACAATATGTCCCAAAAGTTCTCCATTTCTTCTCACGCTAGAACACTATAAGCACTGGAATTTGGTTGATGATGCTTACATGAATGCAAGGATCGTTAGCAGGCAGCAACGTGCTTACAATTTGCTTATGATGTTTAAAACATACATATCCAGCAGAAATAAATTTTGGAGTTATTGCTGAGAATTTTGTTGCAAATTTGAATTGAACTTTTTTGACATAGATTTGGTTTGCTGGTGCAATTGACTCTTCAAAATATGCCTTTAGGATTTTCTCGCTTTTCCTTTTTCTTCTGACTTTTCTAGTCATGATGAAAAATGTACATGAAGAAATGAAGAACTTTTGGGACATTTTGTTTCCTACATCACATAATTTGGTTTTGTGACTTGATCAAGACATTGACTGGTTCATGTTCGTTTAAACAGAAATTCAGAGAAAAAACTGAGCTCAATTAAATCACAACTGGAAATTTCCTCTGCCAGGATTTTTGCCAGGATTTTTGCATGGATTCAAGTTTAACTTTAATATTACCAAAGATTGGCAGATTCTTTGTATTTTATTGCTCATCTTCAAATTTTACGTCTGGGTGGAAGCATTGGCACTGTGGTCCCAATTGTAATCTTGTGCTGATGATTGGTAGCTGAATGGTACAGCCATAAATGCTGTAAGCTTTTGCTCTGGGTAGATATATATCTACAGGCATTTGGAACAGAAAATAAGATATATGAACAGTCTACCATAACATGTACATGTACATGTATTCTAAAGCATAGCATTGTGTTGTGCTAGACTTGCCTCAGTCTGTTCTCCGTCCACATCATGTGGGTACTAATGAAACCTGTGCCTGCTGAGCCGAGTTTAGCTCAGATCATATCAATTACAATGCAGGCTACGACATGAGTCGTGTATGTTGTTTTCAGCAGAGGCATTTCGTATCAATTCTGTTATTATCGGTAGCTGTTTGACCGTTTGGCTGTAAATTGCATCAGCACTATCCGCACTTAGTAAAGTCCAGATTGCAATATTTTTGTAATGTTAAATTCAATACTATTTTTGCTTTAGAAGTCTGCTCAGGCAGACATTAGTGATTTGAGCTCATCACAGACTGCGGCCGACATTAGAATTACAATGCCTTGATCAAGTTTCACGTCAAAACAAATGCTGCTTAACTTTTAGCAAGTTTGTTTGATTTTTTTGCCGTTTGATTTCAGGAAAACCTTGGTGATATTTGGTAGTGGCATAGCTTCAAATTTTGGGGGGAGGGAGGGACCTAATTAACACTACATGTAAAACAATGTTAGATTTCATCATTTTGGCCTGAATTAAAGGCAAGCCCCAGCTCTCTTGAATTTGATGCATGAGTCAACTGAACTAGATCACTCGATTTTTGTGTTTTCGAGTTTTCAAAAAAAAAATCAGCTCCTCTAAATTGTGACATGCATACTGGATGAAAAATTGACATCCACTGAGGAAACTTCTGCAAGAGGCATTCATTTCAGAAATTGGCACAAAGCATTTTTTGACCAACTCTTAGTATCCATAATGGACTTTTATCTTAAAAAGTCAAATCGAAATTTAAAACTTTCCAAAATGTTCAAGAAATCTCAAAATTTCTGTGCCTCATATTAACATGCAGAATTTGCTGTTTTTCAAAACGACTCTTTGACAAGTGTTTTTTAGTCAAGTAATACATGCAGATCAAGCGATTGTTTTTTCCCGCAAAGTATAGCAAACTCAAGTGACTTTTCTTCTTAATGCTTTCAGCATATGGAAGCTGTGTAAACAACTGTTATGTTTGATATTTCCACATGCTCATGTAGCTTTGGCAGGATTGGTTGACTGACGTGTGGATTTAGTGGACCACTGACTGCCTGTCTCCTATTGTGGTTGATCAACTAGCACATCAACCAATTACTGATAGTCTGGTCCCTCCCTTCCCCGTGGCCATTAGCTACACCACTGTGTATTGCCATAGACTGAAGACCATCTGTACATTACTGCCTGGTTTAATGCAGACTACACCATACTCCTAAGCCATGAGATACACATTTGGGTTTAACAAGCAACACATGAGGATGTACCAGTGCATGAATTCATTCTACAAACTTCAATTAAACTTACCATGGAAGTTGTTGACAGGACTGGCTCCCCGTGTCTGATGTCACAGTTTCTGTTTAGGATACTGAGAGGCAGATTGGTACCCAATCTCCCAGGCCATTCACTCCAATTGATCGAGGGGCTCACACCCACTTTCTATTTGTCCCATGTTTAATTTGCCGCTAAGGTTTTTTCTTTTGGGGAGTTGATGAATGGGAGAAATATCTACACAATTTCTGGATGGAATTTAGCTCATTCTGCAAGCGCCAATTCTTATTTTTTGGAATTGTGGAGTCCGTCAAGTGAGTTTTTCATCCTTGCTCACAAGGATACTTACATGTAATTTCAAAGAATTTCACAACATAGAAACAAACGTCTGGTTGTTTGCAACCATATTTCCCTTGGGAATGTGAAATGAAAATCTCCCTTGTTAAGTGAATCTCTGGCAGACTTGACTCCAGTTTGTTCAATATACTTTCCATCATATTTAAGGTAGTTTCTCCCAGACATGTTTTGTTTTCTCCCTTCTTTGGACAAATTCAGAGCGAGTGTTTTTTGCCCCTCTATGATGTGAGTGAATGGCCTGGATACATCATCCACCCATCAATCTAACAGCATGGTTCTCCCTCTCTGCACACCAGGCATTTCTCTACTACAGTTTTGAAGAGTTTGGCTACCAGTTTTTGGTTTACTTTTTTTACAAATTTCTTTTGATTTTGATGCAAAAAAAAACTACGCACAAAGATGATGACACTTAAAAATTTGAATTTTGTTTCACAGAAATGTCCAGAAGAATCTTTAGACTTTCTTATTTTTTTCAGTAACGAAATTCAGTCATATTTAAAAAAAAAAAATATTTGTTCTCTCAAAACCCAGGATGCCATTTTTGGAATTCAATATTTTTTTTTTGGTGTCAACTACTGTGAACTTCAAATTTAATTGATTGCAGTTTACTGACTGTAAATTCCGACTGTTAAAAAGTTCCAAATACGACAAATTTAGAATGTGTGTATGCTACCAAAACCATGAATGTACAATTCAGACGCGATTGTAATTTTTGAAGAAGCTTGCACCATCTTATTAAATGACTTCATTTGGTAAAAACACCTCCCTTTGAGGTGAAATGAGCAAATGCAAAACTAGAATTTCAGAGTTATACTGTGGAAATTACCAAGACAATTGTGGCCAAACAATTGTTCAAACATCATACGACACTGTCAAATATCCTAGAAAGCCTACAACAAGTAACCGTCGCTGAATATTTCATTATTTTTTCGGATCACTGGCAATGATGGCTGAGAACTCTTGACATGTTTCAAGTGAGCAATGGCGGAGTTAGACACAGAAGTGTTCTCTTGAGTTGCCATTCCTGGAGTAGTGGACATGTACATCTGCTTTGTAGACAAACTAACCAATTGCCAAAGTTTAAAGGATCCTTACCATGTTGCAGTCTTCCGAGGTATCCACAATCACCCAGGGTGCAAGATTTCGAGGGAGTTGCATACATCACCAACAGTCAATTCACAAGCCAATGCAGATAGCGGGCAACCACCAACCTGTCAGCGTCTGCGGGCAGGGGACACACGTGCACGCACCAGGAGGGCCTGCATGTGGCTGGGCTTTATTGGTTTTCATTTACAGTGCCTGATGGTAAAAGACAACAATGCAAAAAAGGTTTATCGATTGATTTTACCAAAATAAATGTTGCAAGTATATACATGTATAATCAGCACTGAGATACAATTGTCATGATTGTGCCTGCGCTTACTTTGACCAGAAATAGAATACTGTGGGTTTTTTTTAATTCTACTTTTTAATGAAGCAAAGCTTCAGGGTGACAAAATCACCAAAATTTGCAAACTAATCAATGCAGTATTAAAGCAAAAGTCATGCCGATTTTTTTTCAAACTCCATGCAGCAGCTTGTGATGCCATGCTTATTTAGCTACCAGGGAAGGGTTGAATGATCTAATGGAAATCTATGTACATATCTTGTACAATGTTGCTAAATGCGATTGGCCCAAATGTCTTCAACAATGGTTGGACTCTACTTTCTATTCATCAGTGCTGATTATACACATTTCAAAGCAGGTGCAAGATGGGTAAAAATTAGTGCATTACAATTTGAAGATGAGTACATTTGGCAAAATAAGAATTTAAGACCCCAAAAATGTAGATTTTGCACTGATTTACAAATGTCATAAACAAACTGCAAAAGCATTCACAAAATGAATAATTTTTTTGCCCAAAGGCATATTTGACCATTTTCAGTTACTGAACTAATTGAGTATGGTGATTTGAATGCTTGATTCAAACTTGAACGTATTGCCATTTCAGAAAAAAAAATTCAAATTTGTCCTTGCAAGAGACTTTCAATAGGACAATATTTTGTCTTTTGTGTTCACGATGGAGTGACATTAATTACCCATAATGCACCAGGCTTGTAATTTACCAGTCAGGCATTGTATTTAAAAACAAAATTAAAGTATTGTTGTAACCAGCCCTCACGTTATAATGCATTATACAATGACATACATACCGTACATTTGGTTCTTAGAGAAAAAATATGTGCGCTTGTGGTCAAATGGACAGTAATGAAAAGTGTGAATCTTTTTGGTTCAGATGAATTTTCCCTCAGGATTAACAAAAAAAGCGCTTTGATGTTTTGGATAAAACAAGGTATTTTTTGAGGAATAATTGTATGCTTTTTTAACCGCAAGAAGTTAACCAAATGAAACGTTTTTGTATTACTGTAACAACATTCATTGTCTCTTCATGCACAATGCTAAGATGCGCTGAATTTCAAAAGGTTGAATTTGAGAAAATAGTATCAAATTTCTCATGCTTATTCTTTTAGGATATATTGCCTTTCATCTTCAATCTTTATAGACTGGCTACAAATGAGGACTGGTTACAAATGTACAAGTCCATTCTGACGAAGAGCTAAGAACAACGTTAGATACCTTGATTTTCCACCAATTTGCAATTGTCAGCTTAATATTAAATGGTCCTTGGAACATAAGATAACTATAATTTAAATGGCATTGTGAGCTTCACAGAGTTGACTGTCTTTTTATGAAATATTTAAATATGGTTGGCAGTTCAGATTTTGTCTGCTGCGCCTACATGTATGTACCCCTTGATGTTAGAGGAACATTTTTAGACCACTTAGCTGACAAAAAAAGTAGCTACATTTCTACAACCTTTAAGGGCTCAGTCGTCAAAATGGACTTGGTACTCACACCCAATTCCCACCCTCAACCCTTTTTTTCAGTGGCGTAGCTTTGATTACATAGATGAGAATGCCAAATGGCCATCTACGTAAGGTGGAAACTTAAGGCGAGCCAAGAATCATTGATTCTGACCATGCATCCCAAGTGACATCCAACGAGAACCTAACAACCGAAAGTTACAATCATTTTTTGGGATGACTCCTTTTCATTATTTGCTCAACAAGATTTTGTTTTGGTCAACTTTGAAGTTTGGACTTTTTTTAAAGATGGAACTTGATGCTAACATTCAAGAGTTTTGAAAGCAAAGTTTTTATCTTTGTGAAGGAAAAGGTGAAGCTACGCCACTAGTTTATATCCCAACCCAATGTTTGATGGTTCTCTACGTCTTTCCAGTTAAATTGTACATCAGCCATTCAAGTTCTTGGCAATTTCAGTCAATACTGGAGCACAATGGTTCACAATCCAACGTCAAGAATCCACAGCTGAAGATGCTGAAGTACAGTTCTTGCAGGATTAGCTGGTAGCTTCTTGGAGTTCACATACATGTATGGTCCAGTCCGTAAAATGTTCCAACATGTCCAATGGGATGCATATCCAAAGGGGTTCAAAATGAATCAGGAACACAGCTGAGCTGTTTCAGTAATTCATGGCAGGGTGAGTCACATAGTCTACTAACTGCATTTTAATTTGACATGAGTAGCCTTGTCGACTATGCTCCAAGCTCACAACTGTACCAACAGTTTGTTTCTATAGTCAGTATCTCACGTCCTGTGCAATATTCTGAGTGATGCATCAGCAAAAGTTCCACATGATGATGCTAGGCAGAGCCTGATGAGATGACAGAACTGAGTCCGTGATTGGGGTAAAACCTGTCTCCAACAGTCTCCTGAATGGAGGAAGTCCATGGTCCAGGAAGTCTACAGTCGGTATCTCAGGTCCTGTGCAATGTTCCACATGATGATGCAAAGCAGAGCCTGATGAGATGAGCCAGGTTGATGATTGGAGTGTAACCCGTTTCCAGCAGTCTTGTCAATGGAGGAAGTCCGCAGTATACCCTAACAAGAGAAAACAAACAGAAAGCTTTTGTCAAGACCATTAGTTCCATATGCCATATCTCATGCTGTTTTAGAATTTGTCTATTTGCTGCATTTAGCATGTTCAAGGTCACCAGCTTCTTTTTAGGGGTTGAACTCAAGCAAAAACTTTCACCTCCACCCAGTTCAACTGATACAGGAACATCCCGCATGCAATGTAGCACATGCATCAAGTGCAACAAGGCATAAACACAGGATAAGAGTAAAATACAAAACTGCAGAGGGTAAATGAAGGAATTTATGACCAGGTGAATCATCCTCCCCACTTTTCCATAAATGAGAAAACAAAATACAGTAAACTCCGGCTAAACCGACATCGTATAAACCATATCGCTTAAATCGGCCGTCTGACGAAAGTTCCGATTGTCTCTAATGCACTTTCTTTTCTAAGTCGGCCTTTGTAAGCCGCCATTTTGCCTATGGCGTGTTACTTTCAGTCACATTTCCTCAAAACCACGAAAATTCCTCTGTATAAGTCGGCATCGTGCTCTGCGGTTTGCAAGAAGTGTCGGGTGGAAAGTCCCACACGCTGCTAACTGACATCTAATTATCAATGGCACGGCCCGTGATTGATGCATCGGCCAGCATGTGTACACTAATCCAGGGATTATCCTTAGCGGTCGCCCGCTCGCCAAATGCGAGTGAAAACAGCGGCGGGCAAGTCAAACCCTCCTCTCAGTAGTCCGACGGGCAAGTCAAAAAACTGTTAAAAAAAATAAAAACAACGAAGTTTTCCCTACAGTATTTTTCAATCAATCAAAATAAAAAGTTACGGGTGATACAACACATGAATACTTTTGCCACGCCGACCGAAATAAAAACATCGGTAGTTCGAATTCGTATCACTCCATGTATATTCGCAGTGTGCTGTGCATTGAAACCCCAACGACGAACATGAGGCGAATCAACGTGTGTTTGCCATTACACATTGTGCACACATGCAGCGCATGTGATTTACTTCGTTTTGTCCACATGGTACGGACGTACGTACGTTAACATCGTATTCGTATCATACAACGTGGTGAGGAGAAAACTTTCATGACAGTCTGCCAAAACTTGTGCCCGAACGGATTCTTGGGATGATTTCTTGAACACTATCAAACAAATGTACCGAAAAGATGAGGACAATATGAGATTCGAGGGGCCTATTTTGAATGTAAAGACTAGTGAATGTAAAGTGGACCGTGCTCCGGAAAACGTTATGAATTGACGTGACCAGCGTAAGTTCGTGGGTCGCCGGCCCGCAGCGCTTCTTGGCTAGGCACGCTGATTGCACCATTCTTCGCTAGAAATGCATGGCGCGCGCGAGAGATGTTTTTTTGAAAATACTGGCCTTCTCACTCATTTTCAAACAAGTTAAAACAGTTCAGTTACTAACTTGGTAAACTCCCATTAATACCACGACTGTGTGCAATGTTTTCTTGTTCCTCAAGATAACGCTTTTTTAGTTCGTGTTTTATCAAAACATGTCGGAAAAAGAACACCTAAACCCTTAAGTTCGGAACGAAGCACACTGCATAAATTTTGATTATAACTTCTCCCCCTATTTGATTCCTGTTAATTAAAGCCTTGCTCTATGTTAAAGCATGGACGATTAAAGAAACATTGACATCACTTAAAAAGGAACTACATGCAATATTATGTACATGATTAAGATAATTGCCGATTGTATTCATATTGCATAATTTATTATCAAAAATGTTATCAAAAATGCTTATGGTGATTTGATTGAAAGTTACTATTAAAACATGTGGGCTAGTGAAAAAGGTTGCGGGCCAGTGAAAACTTTGGTTTACTGGCCCGGCCGGCCAGTAAAGGAAAAAGTTAAGGAAAACCCCTGTAGACTAATCACACGTGTACACTGTTTCATGCACAGTCTGTTCATTGTGTGCATCGTTCGCTTACACGTGCGCGATCAAAAGGGGTTTTCCCGATAGCACATCAATACCAGTACTCCCTCTCCACTGCACGCATGCGCTCTGTTCATTTTGGGGGTCCCCTTATTGTACCAGTACCATGCACGCTTTAACTCGTGACTGAACTCGTGACTGAACACCTACGTACGTACGTACGTACGTACGTACGTACGTATGTACGTACGTATGTATACTATATGGACGTACAGTATGCAAGCGACCTGTATATATCGTACCACTGTTAACGCTAGCCGGCCGCGCCGTCCTTGCTTCGTACGTACGTACATGTACTAGGCTTGAACGGTATTTCGGTATTACCGGATAGTCACGTTTTTTTTCTAATCACCGACTAATGATATATGAATACCGAAACACCGGTGAACTTGGTATGGAATTTCAATGCCGCGGTACTCTTCGTTAGTGTTCAGAATCTTTGCAAAAGTAATTCAAACAGAAAGACAAACAACATGATTCCATTCTTTGTGGTTCCAGGCATCCAGTTTCATGTCGGCATTGTCAATTACCGTTGACAAATAAGACGTAATTGTCAAGCTCGACTAGAAAACCTGATGCTTCAGCAGCTGCAATACCGCAAAGGCCTTTGAAGTTCTGCTAACGCCGCCGTGTTTGCAGTTTTCTTTGTGTGTATTGTGTCTGGATGGAAAGTTCAAACGATGTTTTACACAGGGAATATTTTGACGGTTGTGACAAAACCTGATTGTGTTAATTGTTTCTTCTTGGTTGTTTTGGAGATTTGAATTCTACATCATCATGCGTAATTTGTTAGGGCAAAACATAGTTCCCCAAGAATATTTCTGCAACAAGAAAAAAAACGTGTCAATCTTGGTTATGACCGCCAAAACTTACAGGCTTCAGTCAGGGAGCACGATTCCGTGTTTATTACAGGGCTCGAAATATCCACTGGACCGTGGACCATGTCTAGTGATTTCAGCGTCGGTCTAGTGCAGTGTATGACTGCACTAGTCCGGCTGTCTAGTGTTTTTTCTTGCAGTATATAAACAAAATGACCCCCAAATATACTAGCAGTTGAGGTCTGATTAATTTAGCGTTCTTTAAGTTCATTACTTGATTGATTAAAATTACTGCCACAAAAATCCCTGTGCCGTGCCGAAACGCAACGACATGAACGAATCTGCCTGCGAGCCGCGGTCAGTTGCAGACAAACGTACGTACAATGACGTACATGTACATCCCATACATACAGCACATGTACATTGATGCTCCGTTAACATATATGATGTCGTGCGACCTCCACAACTTACATGTAGATTGGTAGCAATATGTTGTATTTATATTACCGCTGTATTTCCCTATGAGACGTCCAGGTTCACTGCGGGCAGACAAGCAGAATCCCTGTACTGCATGTGAATTAGTTGTACGGTCTAGTTCCCAGACTTTTACGAAGCAAAAGACCGTGCCTGCTGACAAGAGAATTAGACTAATTTTCCAGGGGAACTAGCCAAGTGCATACACACACGAGACTCGGATGGATCGATCGCAGTCGTAAACTTTTTTCTTGCAATCTCAGTGTGTTGTTCTCCGTTTTCAAGATGTGGAGATACCTGGATGGGGTCTCCAAGCCAAGCACTCCTCCTCCAAAAAGGTCAGCTGAGGAAAAAATAGAGTTGGCGCGGCAATACGAAAAGCACGCCGACCTAGGCGTACTTTCCAGGAGAGCTGGAAAAGCTTGTGGCCATGGGTGTATACCACCGAAAACATCCACGGCGACAAAATTATGCTTTGTCGGATGTGCAAAGAAAACCCGGAATGCAGCGATCCTACCAGTAACTTTTTCACTGGTTGCCAAAATTTCAAGACGGACACAATCGCATGCCATGAAAAAACTCAAAAACATGAAAGAGCAGCAAAAGCTTACAAAGCTAAGAGTGCACCGCTAGGTTCCATGCCTGCTGACAGCATGTTACGGCAGATGAATGAGACTCATTCAAATAGAATGAAGAAGCTGTTCCTCACGTGTCACGCACTAGTCAAGAGGGGAAGACCTTTCACAGATTTTACATGGATGTGCAAGCTGGACAAAGTAAAAGGAGTCGACATTGGTAAGTAAATACCTTGCTATTTTTTTTAATAATTAGTTGTTTTGAATTGTCATTTGATTTTTGAAAAAGAAGTTTTAATTAAATTAGTTTATTTTATTGTTTTTTTTTTTAATTTTGAATTAGTTTTCTTTTGAATTTTTTTTATCAGTTTCTATTAGTTTTCATTTTTTACAATTAGTTTTCAGTTAGTTTTTATATGCCTATGTTTTTTAGATCAATTTTTAGTTAGGTTTTCATTAGATTTTCTTAGTTTTTATGTTTCATTTGTTTGGATAATTTTTTAGTTAGTTTTTCATTTAATTTTTATTTTTACTTGTTTAGGGTTTTGTTTCACTTGATATTGAAAAGTTCATACGTATCATTTTTATATTTTAGAAATATGATTTCCTTTAATGGCTTTTCTCACTTAAGGCCTAGCTCATACTTTGATTAGGCCTATAAATTTGTTTTCTTTGTAACTGTTAGATTGATTTGAAAATCAATTAACTTATTAAAATACTAATTAAATGTTTTGGTCATTGGCGCAAAAGAAAAGACTGCATAAATAAAATTTACCTCGTTTTTTGTGTGAATGAAAAATCATGCAGGCCTCATTTTTTAGGGGAGGTGATAATTGAATAAAATTTCATTTATTATTTTGTCATTCCATTTGTTGATTTTTTTTTTTTTATTATTTGTTTTTACGGGGTGTCATTTTCATTTTCGTTTTTGAGAGGAGAATTAGAACAATTGATTCTTGGGGCAAGCCTTTTCTGTGTATTGAAGCATACATACTATACTCACTGCTCATTTTTGTTGAAAATTTCTGGATTTTATCATTCAAGATGTGACCTTAAAATGTATATGATCTTAAAATGTTTGAGCAGAGGTTGTTCACATTTGCAGACTCAGTCAATAATACATGTGATCAAAAAACTGGGCAGATCCCTCGGAAACCCATTTATTGACAAATATTGCACATTAA